AATCCCATCTGCTTGGCGCCAGTATACCCTCGCTACAATAAACAGTGCTAAATAATTTAGATATGAAGGAACCTTGGCGGGAAGCGCAGGAGTCATGGACTCTGCCGTGAACACTTGAATGTGGATTGTGAGCCCATCTCTGGAAAAGAGGACATATTAATGCTCTCCCCCGTTCCTTGTCTTCGCAGTCAGGTTCCACTTAAAACACCCCAAGCCTTGTTCCCGATCACGCCAACGCTGTCAGAACTTACCAGAACTGTTTGTAATGAAGACAAAAGCAAAAACAGCAGGATTTGGTTACACTGAACGGGCTTGTAGCTCATGGTTTTCATTTGGAGGCTCAGACGAACACTCCGAGTGGGCAGTGCTGTTCTCAGTTTAATTCTCTCACACTCCAGATCTTGTCCTTCCTCAGTACTACCACCCCTCACCCTCCGGCCAGGAATTTTATACTTTGGTACAATTTCATTTGGGGACCATTTAGAGGTCCTCCTCTCCAAGTAAAACTAGATTAGTCATTTTGATGCACATTCTTCTGTGGTGCTCGAGTTCGCAATGCATAATTCCGTAATCTAGTCCCATTATTTCTACAAACAGAACGTGGGTAATGTGTCATTTTTTGCGCTATGAGTGCGACAAAATGGAATTGCAAGAATAATGTTTCCCACACCACCATATCGCCCCAAGTGCATTTGCCATTGTTTGGACAAACAGGTAATCCCGCCCCAAATTCATTTAGGGTATATGTTTACACGACAACGAAGTACTAAAAATGGAAACGTTTTTCCTTTGTGTTTTTCACGTACAGACGACAATGTTGTCAAAACGATCCCCGTTCACAAGGATCCGTGAAAACGACAAAAAACGCTGTGTTATTCTGTCAGGCCAGTAGTTGGGGATGTCACTTTGTAAAGAAACATTACTCGCCTATAGGCATGCAATACACATGCGTATGACGTCACTGTTTTTACAAATTTGTGTTTTATAGTTCACATGGAGACGATAACAGTATAGTTTTCAAAAACTTGCACTTTGAAACCCGTTTTAAAAAGCATGTGTTATCATGCCCCCAAAACGCCGTTGTCGTGTAAATGAACGTCCAAAACTCCAGTTTTCCGTTTTTAGTTGAAAATGGTTTTGTGTAAACGGCCCCTTAATTAGTTAAGCCACAAGTTCATATCACTTAAATTCATGCATACATTTCATTAATTAATACGGACTGTTGAAAGAAGAAAAAATATCTGACACAATGCTCCATCCATTTTATTTTTCACTTCCTGTTTAAGATGGTTATTTCCAACCCAGGCTTATTAAAATACGTGCCTATATGTACATATTTGTACACAATGTAGTTTTATTAAAATACAAAACATTTTTCAAACATTAAAATATGTTAAATGATCATAATCACTAGTTTTAACCTCAGAAATAAATAAAAAATCCATTTAATAAAGGTATCGTTTTATACAGTGTGTGTGTGTGTGTCCTTTGTGTTGAATCTTCATTTATTTTGGGATTTATTGTCTAACTTGTGTGCTTAATTAGTTCCATTTTTAATCAGTTCACAACCTTACTTTTAACATTACAAGAATGAAGAAACTGAAACGAGGAAGAAGAAAGGAAGGACTTGAGAGAGTTTTGTATAGCTTATGCATCTGCCCAATCTAATGATTAACAGCTTGAGTGTCCCGGGCTGTCGTGCAGAGGAAAACAGCGGTTCTGATAACTGTTCTTGCGGCACGATATTCACTAAACATCTGATTAAAAATGACATCAATCAGGAGTGTTAAAAAGCTCTTCAGCACCCTGCTAGCTGGATTAGACTCAACATCTGCTGCTATTATACTTGGCCCGATGCACTACAAGTGAGCAGTGTACTAAATGGATTTCAACATAAAAAGAGTTTTATGAGACAAGGTGTTAAAACATTTAAAAGAACATCTCTCAAGTGTCCTTTGTGTTAATAAATACATGAAAATTAAATCCTAATGGCTCAGAAAAGAAAAGGGGCAAAGATGCCCCTTGAAAGTGTTTAAGTCAATTCTGCCTCAATTCATTTTAACACAATTTTAGTGAAAGTTTTATTGTAGCTGATCTCAGTTACACAATTTCCATTCTAAATGGACATTTACAGCACAGATCTTTCAGGACTTGAATTGGTTCAACTCACAGATAGACTGAATTCATATATTTAATGAAAACATTTGCAACAGTGTTAATTAATGACGTTAACATGAATGTAAAGTCGTCTCTTAAAATCTGTTCAAATTAAAGGTGCAGTAAGCGATTTCTGAGAAACGCTGTTGAAAGTGGATCGGACCGAGCAGCACAACACACTTGTAGCCAATCAGCAGTGGGGGGCGTGTCATCTCATGATGGGGGAGGAGAGAGAGTGAGATTTGAAGAGAGACTGTAGAAAGAGAGATGGCTGAGAGACATTACAAAAGAGAAAAGCTCAGATGAATATCACTGGGGAAAAAAAGGGTGATCAGGCAAGAGCTTTAGGACCCGCGTTAATATTAAAAAAGCTTTCCAGCGCTGTTTGTTTGTTATCTTCACTTTATCTTTCACAAAGCATTATTTTCCTTCACTTCAGTTATGATAAAGAGACATCCAATCTTATATTGTGTGTTTGTGCATTTTGGGGCGGAGCAATGAAGGGAGGGGTGTGTTTGTTTGGGTTGATTGCAAATATCAACAGTGTTTCTCAGAAATCCCTTACTGCACCTTTAAATGAGCATATGGTGAAAAGATTGAAACAGTGGATACATGACTCAAACTTGTGTTGCAAATGTTATGCTGCCTGTAGAAAATCTGGCCTAATTATTTACATTGGTAAAACTGTATTCCGATGGTCCACTTTAGACATTCTACTAACTATAAGTAACTTTGCAACTACATGTCAACTACCAGTCATTAGAGTATTAGTAGACTGTTTGCTTAGTATTTTGATGCTCCCCAACAGACAAGTAACTTTGCAAGAACATGTCAACTTATTCTACTAACCCTATCCTAACAGTCTACTAATACTCTAATGGGAGTTAGTTGACATGTAGTTGCAAAGTTGTTACATCAGTTCAACTTCACTTAGTAGAATGTCTGAAGTGGACTATCGAAATAAAGTGTAACCTTTACATTTTAAAGACACGTACAAATAATTTATATTTCAAATAAATGCGGTTCTTCAAACTTTCTCTTTTAAACTTTCAAGTTGACACTGTATCACAGTTTATGCACTGCGTAAAGCAGCAAAAAAAAAAAAAATTGAATGCATTTTTATGTAAATACAGCCTTCATGAACATGAATATTCTTTCAAAAATGATAAAAACGTACTGATCCCAATCTTTTTCCGTCTTTGTACAGAGTACAAGAAGAGGGACTAAAAAGTTATAGGGAGTTAGAGACCTAAAATGGAGGTTAAAAGGAAGCTGCCTAATTCTCTACAGTCTTAAGAAAGCTAAACAAACGGAAGCACTTTTAACAACAAAGAACTGGAAGTTCTTCCACTTTGAACTGTGGTTCTAAAAAGACTGCTAAGAAGACGAAGACATTCAAACAGAAAAACTGGAATTACATGAAGGATACCACCTCTCTGAGAACTTTGACTGTCGCCATGCCTCATGCTTTCCATGTGGTGTCCATGTTTGTACATTGCAGCTCACTATACACTCACCTAAAGGATTATTAGGAACACTATACTAATACTGTGTTTGACCCCCTTTCGCCTTCAGAACTGCCTTAATTCTACGTGGCATTGATTCAACAAGGTGCTGAAAGCATTCTTTAGAAATGTTGGCCCATATTGATAGGATAGCATGTTGCAGTTGATAGAGATTTGTGGGATGCACATCCAGGGCACGAGGCTCCCGTTCCACCACATCCCAAAGATGCTCTATTGGGTTGAGATCTGGTGACTGTGGGGGCCATTTTAGTACAGTGAACTCATTTCAAGAAACCAATTTGAAATGATTCAAGCTTTGTGACATGGTGCATTATCCTGCTGGAAGTAGCCATCAGAGGATGGGTACATGGTGGCCATAAAGGGATGGACATGGTCAGAAACAATGCTCAGGTAGGCCGTGGCATTTAAACGATGCCCAATTGGCACTAAGGGGCCTAAAGTGTGCCAAGAAAACATCCCCCACACCATTACACCACCACCACCACCAGCCTGCACAGTGGTAACAAGGCATGATGGATCCATGTTCTCATTCTGTTTATGCCAAATTCTGACTCTACCATCTGAATGTCTCGACAGAAATCGAGACTCATCAGACCAGGCAACATTTTTCAAGTCTTCAACTGTCCAATTTTGGTGAGCTCTTGCAAATTGTAGCCTCTTTTTCCTATTTGTAGTGGAGATGAGTGGTACCCGGTGGGGTCTTCTGCTGTTGTAGCCCATCCGCCTCAAGGTTGTGCGTGTTGTGGCTTCAGAAATGCTTTGCTGCATACCTCGGTTGTAACGAGTGGTTATTTCAGTCAAAGTTGCTCTTCTATTAGCTTGAATCAGTCGGCCCATTCTCCTCTGACCTCTAGCATCAACAAGGCATTTTCGCCCACAGGACTGCCGCATACTGGATGTTTTTCCCTTTTCACACCATTCTTTGTAAACCCTAGAAATGGTTGTGCGTAAAAATCCCAGTAACTGAGCAGATTGTGAAATACTCAGACCGGCCCATCTGGCACCAACAACCATGCCACGCTAAAAATTGCTTAAATCACCTTTCTTTCCCATTCTGACATTCAGTTTGGAGTTCAGGAGATTGTCTTGACCAGGACCACACCCCTAAATGCATTGAAGCAACTGCCATGTGATTGGTTGATTAGATAATTGCATTCATGAGAAATTGAACAGGTGTTCCTAATAATCCTTTAGGTGAGTGTATATAGACTATTATATTGCTTTATTGCCATTGTTGAAGAATATTAAACCATACCTGAAGTGCACTACCTGATATGAGAGATTTCTGTGTATTGAGTGTGTTTCTCATGGTTTTAGAGAAAGTTCCCTCTTGTGACCAGGAGAGGCAGACGGCCCAGGATGAGGCTCGGCAGAATCCGCGGGAAGCCATCTTCATCCCTGACTGCGGCCTGCAGGGACTCTACAAGCCGGTCCAGTGCCACCAGTCCACTGGTTACTGCTGGTGTGTGCTGGTGGACACTGGGAGACCCATACCTGGAACTTCTGCAAGGTAAGACAGAAACAAACTGTCTTATGACAAATTTTGTAATCAAGACATAATTATCTGTGCTGTAACCTCATTATTTATACGACATGTTTCTGGATGAGCTTGCATGCTCTAAACATCTCAAAATGCTAAAAGACTGGCGATCATCCAATGCGACTGATTAGTTTAGTTGTGGAATGTTATGACAATCGATTTTCTCTCCAAACCACAGTCTTTATTTTTCCATGAGCAAAGCTGTCAGTGCTGAATTTTGTTTAGAAAGCACTCAAATTGAAAGCGTGACACGTCCTGATGTGTTTCTACCCATTATGAGCTGTGATTTATTTTCCACTTTTGGAGATGTGTAAATTACTCTCTTTTTTTGCCCTGGAAACATTGAGAAGGTTTAGCCAACTGGTTCTTGCTGAACGAAATTCGCAAGTTGAATTCAGGCATGGAGCCCATGCTGCCTCTGAACCATGCTGAGATGGCGTGATCCTTTGGATAGATGTTCTGGATGTTTCCGTTGAATCCTAGATTTCTTGTTGTTCTTGTGGGAGGCTGCAGTGTCATGCATTCTTATGTCTGTCTTACTAAAAGCCAGTGAACCAAATTGGATCAAACAATTAAATCAAATACTCAGGGTTTGTCATTTCTTCATGTGTTTGGATAGCTGTGTTAACTGAGACAGGACTTGTATGGCTGCATCTCTGAAGGCTTGTTACAGTGAAGGCCAAACTCTGCATTCTCTACGAACAAAAAAATGCGTGATGTTTGTCCATGATGATTTGGTTGCTAAGTCTATATTCTTGTGGTTGTCAAAGTTTTCTGAGATGTTGTAGGCACATAGCTAAGCGTTTGCTAGGAAGTTCTGGATGGCTGCCTACTGTCCCAAGTCAAAAGACTCCATAAAAGCCATGATATATTCACTGCGAAGTTCTTTTTCATTCTACACTTAGGGGTAAGTTCAAAATACCTTTGCAGCATTACTGAGAACTGCAATTCAGCTCTCCAGTCAAGTCATGTTGTGTTTATTTATATAACACTTTATACAATTGATTGTTTTAAAGCAAGCAGCTTTACAGTAGTAAACATGAAAAATGTCAATGTCGCTTTCAATTAGAATTACAACCTCAAGTTCTACTATAAAGCAGCTCTCCAGTGTGTTCATGTTTTCACTCTCAGATGTCTGACTTCGACAGACTGAACTGAAGAAATGTGACTCCACATAAGGCTTGTGTGGCTTTGTACAGATACGGATAATAGAGGAGAAGATGTATAAACATTGTAAAAGTGCCTCATGTTTGTGTTCTCCATCAGGTATAAAAAACCAGAATGTGACAGTGCGGCTCGTTCTCGAGACTCAGAGATGGAAGATCCTTTTAGAGACAGGGATCTGACAGGTGAGCAGAACAGTTGACGTGAGGTGCATCCCAAATTCTCCCAATTTGCATACTTATACACTATTCTGTGTTGTTTTGTAGTATAAATAACGCCAGGTTCAAACTACACAATATTTTTGTCAGATTGTGTGATTTTGACTCTTAAATTCTTGTCATGTCGTGGACAAGAAGCATGTCCGACTACATGTTGCTTCCAAACCAATCATCGTTTGTCGTCTTTAACGATGTGAGTGATGTCATCAAGAAAGCGGGACTAGTGAGTGACTTCCGGAAAGAAGAGCATAAACAAACAATGGTTGTACTATCTTAATGCTAATTCCAGAACTCACGCCTCTGCTATCGTTCACCAACCTTTATGATGTTTCCTCGATGGACTACACCAAAGTGCTTTTAGGCAAGTCATGCCACTCGGCCGCCATCTTGGCAACGCCTCCGGGCAGCTATTTCGGACTAACAAGACCAGGCTCCTATCTAAATGAATGGGCAGAGAGTCAGAACTGCACTTTCACTGGTCACCGGGACATAAAAACTGCTTGTATAGAAACAGCAGTAAAATATGATAAAAATCGCTGAAAAAGTTTGATGACTTTGCCCCAAAATAAGGTTTAAAAGGTATTTTTTACCCACAGGTTATACGTTTACTACGCATGCGCAAGGGTTCTCGTCTCCGCTGTCGCTAACCTCAACTGTGCGCATGCGTCAGTGGAACCAGACGATAGGCTTAAATGTTTCCCGGCTTGACTGTTAAAAGCAGACGATTGGCTTTACAGCGGGAGGGGCGGGGCATGTGCATACAACCCCCATCTTTGGCGTTACGGGTTTTCCCTATATAGTTGTATTGAGGATTGAGGAAGAGGCATGTCTCTATATAAATTGTCTCTGACTACAACTAAAAAAGATAAATGCTGGTGAACGATAGCAGAGGCGTGAGTTCTGGAATTAGCATTAAGATAGTACAATCATCGTTTGTCGTCTTTAACGACATGCGTGATGTCATCAAGAAAGCGGGACTAGTGAATGACTTCCGGAAAGAAGAGCATAAACAAACAATGGTTGTACTATCTTAATGCTAATTCCAGAACTCACGCCTCTGCTATCGTTCACCAGCATTTATCTTTTTAGGTTGTAGTCCATCGAGGAAACATCATAAAGGTTGCTCTAGCTCCACAAACCTCTGCTCCATTGCTCTCTTGCTCTCTTTCTCTCTTTCGTTTCGCCATGTTTGAAAGCTGTGTATGGAAGAGCTTCTGTGCTCCTATTGGTCAACGTCATAGATGTGACGGAAAAAATGTAACATGCTAGTCTTTCTGTCAGGACGTTGCAAAGCAATGCAGACAGTCGTCATCAGTTGTCATCCGCTATGACACTATACAACATAAAATGATCCCAAAGCCTTTGTCATTTACGAATCACCACAACACCCTAAGTCAAATGGATCATGACAAAATGGGGCTGATATTGTGTAGTCTGAACCTGGCATGAATGCCATACACTAGATGGTAGAGTACATAGTGTGTAGTATAAGTGCATAATGTATATCATGTCATTTAGGACACAACTATGGACTATAGGGGGTCACACACTGGACGAGAAGCCGCATCACTTCATTAACATTCAAAAACATTGTTTTCTGTGAGTGTATGCACACAGGCTTCGCCACTGTGTATTGTGCATTTTGTTAAGTGAAACGTTTAATTTGATGTGGCTTGAAAAAATCAATATGCTTCGTATAGAGAGCTATAACGATATTGATCACACATTCTTTGTACGTTTGCCCTGTTTTTCCAAATACGAAACTTTAAAATTCATTGATGCCACTTTGTTCTTGAAGTGAACTGAATCGGTGTTGAGATTCACTGTTTGTGTGCATCGGTGTGCGATACTGGTGAGTTGTCCATGATACGGCATGGCGTTTGCCGTCCGGTGTGCGACCGGCTTAACTGTCTTCATTACTACATTACATGTCACTCCTTCTGTTTATATGTAGGCTAAATAATTTCTAAAATAGTTAGATAGTTCCTGACTGGTTATACCAGTCATTTGTTAGCTTTATTAGCTATTAGCTTTGAGGTCATTAATAAGCTATATGATAGTGTACTCCTCAAAGTCTATTTTCTCTTCTGGGACAATGAATCAAAATTATAGATTATTTATTGATTATTTTCCCAATCAGATGCTCTTTAGAATAAGAATATCCTTCCCTGCAACTAACTAGCAAGTAGCAGCTAATGGCTATGATCTAGCTAAAGCCTATTTCTTATTTTGTTTTATGTGCAACAATGACTGATATTGCTTTGGATGCTTGTTTCCGCCACAGAATAAGACAATTTAAAAGATAATTGCGACTTTTTTTCCACAATTGCGAATTTATATCTCGCAATTCTGACTTTTTTTTTCTCCGAATTGCAAGATGCTATTGCTGAAGGTTTGGGGTCAGAATCCCTTGTCTCTTCACTATAAAGTCGCAATTGCTTTTTTTCTTGTTGTAATTGTGAGTTTATATCTTGCTATTCTTACGTCTTTTCTCAGAATTATTAGATAAACTCGTAATTTTGACATATGACCAATTCTAAGACTTTATTACAAGCAATTGAAAGTTTTTATCAGGCAATTCTGACTTTATAACTCCCAATAACAAGTTTATATCACACAATTGTGAGAAAAAAAAAGTCACAATTACCTTTATTATTTTTGTATTCAGTAGCGGAAAGAAGCTTCCATATATTGCTAATATGTTAATTATTGTGTTGTATATTTTAATTTTAATCCTTGACTATGCTTACAATAAATAAGAGTATGGGTTTCTTTTTGTTCTTGCTAATAATGTTTGACAAATGGTTGCAAGAACATGCAGTACCACATGTTAGCATTTAAAGGTGGTTTTCCCTTGAAATATTAGGCTTTCGCTCGTTCCACTTCTTTCCCTTTCATTTAGAATTTCATTGTAACTCCTTTTTAATTCCCCATCTGGTAAGTTTACAGAGTAAAACATGGCTCCTGACTGGGTAACAGATGTGTGGAGTAGTTTATGACGGTGTGGACCACTGGGGAGGACAGCAGCGGGGGGCCGAGAGGTGCTGTCAGTGCCCGGGGGGACTTCAGTCAAATTATTTTTATGTACTCTACTTGAGTGCAACCTGGCACCAGAGCAAAGAGTTTTGGTTTCATCCTTTTAATACAGGAATGGGGGGAAGAACTTTTGGATAGATGTACTATAACTATTTCCACAGGCCAAATTCCACTACAAGACCCACCTGTAGCATCATCATACTAGTGCAAATAAACAAACAAACCCATGGATGGTCTACATCAGGGCTTCCCACAAGCTGGCGTTATGAAGTATACATCTGCCGAATATGGGAAGTTTGACAAGATGCGTCTGATTCCATATGTTCTAATTTAACACTTGGGCTGAGAAGCACTGAGCCGGCACGTCATCACACTTGTCCAAACCCTACAGATACTAATTGGAGTCACCTGGTAAGCCACAGGGCCCCACCTCCCAAACTGCCCTGAACCAGCTAAACTAGAGTGAGGATGCCACGAGAAAACCAAAATTAACCAAAGTGAAAATGTAAACTGAGATTATTTTATTACATTCTTCTGTTATAGGTCACCCTTTAAGAGACACAATTAAGGCCGAAACATTGACTCAAGTAGTGCACGCCATTGCAGCCGAGCATCTGGGACAGTTAAAAAAAGGCGCTACCCAAGGTGTTCAGCAATGTGTCGTAAAAGTTAACTGGGCTGCGGTGGTCTGCGAAAGTGCCCTCATCACCTTGTCGATCGGGCTTGTTTGCTACTTTACATTTCACATGTGCACTCACGCATTTGCAAATGCTAACATCTTTTGTTTGGCATATTTTATCTTTGAATTGCTATAAGATGTTAAGCCTGATATCAGCGTTGACGTTTATGTTAGAACAACCGTATTGCATGATGTTGTATATTTCATTGGGACAGCTTAATACTTTCCTCTCTAACTGTGAGCGTAATTGAAAACAACATTGAAAAGGACATTTTAATGTTAAAAATAGCTCTTTTGTGTTCTGCTGTAAGACTAAATGAGAATGCTTTTGGTTATGTGGGTCTCTCTTTAAATGTTACAGGGTGTCCAGAGGGAAAGAAAGTGGAATTCATAACCAGCCTGTTGGATGCCCTTACTACTGACATGGTGCAAGCTATCAACTCACCAACCCCCTCTGGTGGCGGGAGGTAAGAACTTAATAAAGGAATGCGTTATTCACAAATGCAACAGTATTTAGTTTAAATAAATAAATAGAATACAGAATACATTTGTATCGATTTGAGAATAAAACTGAATTGTTATTAGAATAAAGTCATAAAATTAGTAGAATAATAATATTCTGAGAAAAGGCATAATTATCAGAAATTGCTTTTTCAAATGAATGTGGTATTTAACATTCTCTCTAAAATATTGCTACTATAGTGTTGTGTGTTTATTTGCAAAACTTGATGACTAAATTAAATTTTTACATCAAAGTCGTAATGATTTGAGAATCACACTTTAGATTCGGGTCCAATTCTCACTATTAACTAACACTTTTGCCTCAATAAACTCCTAATTCCTGCTTATTAATAGTTAGTAAGATAGTTGTTAAGTTTAGGTATTGGGTAGGATTAATGGATGTGGTCATGCAGAATAAGGCATTAATATGTGCTTTATAAGTAATAATAAACAGCCAATATCCTAGTAATATGAATGCTTGTTATAAGCAACTAGATAATAGTGAGAATTGGTCCCTAAACTAAAGTGTTACCCTATATGAGTATACACCGTATATTTAGTAGCAGTTCTTACTTGTGCAAAACGTCCCACCACAATGGTGGAGTTGGCCTGACAAATTTCCCACAACTTTCCACGTTTCTCTGATATTCTAGTGCCTAGTGGCCAAGGATGATATGAGTTCAGAGTCTGAACACAATGTAAATCAATCAATTTTATCATGTTTTAATTGCAATTCTTTAAAAGAGGTTCCATTAAAATCCACATAGGACAAAAAGTTCTGATAAGTTGTGTCGATTTTAGAGTTTTGTATATAGAATACCATTCAAATAGTACAATTGAATCTGCCGAATTGTGATGCAGTCTGTATCATTTCATTAGCTTCTGGTGAAAAAGTTAAATTGTTAGTTTTATAATAGCCAGACTTGTGTAAATTTGACTATATGTGAAGTAATATACAGTACACTCCTCCAACTGGGATTGTTTTGCTCCAGGTTTGTTGAGCCTGACCCAAGCCACACACTGGAGGAACGGGTGGTTCATTGGTACTTTGCCCAGCTGGATAATAATGGCAGTCACGATATCAACAAGAAGGAGATGAAGCCCTTCAAGCGCTACGTGAAGAAGAAAGCCAAACCCAAGCGATGCGCCCGCAAGTTCACCGACTACTGCGACCTTAACAAGGACAAGACCATCTCCCTTCAAGAACTCAAAGGATGCCTAGGAGTCAATAAAGAGGGTGTGCTGCTTTTCTGAACGCATTTATGATATAAAAACGGATGATAAAGTGCTTTGGTGGAACCACATTTGGCGAGCTTATTACGGAAGTTTCTTAATTTCCCCTGGTACTTCCTGTTTCATTGAATACACAATGAAAGTTGGTGTTCCTGTCAACTTCCTACCAATTTGATATGTTGGAGTTAGAAGTTTCTGGTAATAGTATTTACATTGCAAGGAAGTATAAAAGTTTGACCGAAATTATTTGTAAATAAATCCGTAAACAATTGAATGTAGATATTTCCAAGGTTGTTTATAGGTTTCTGCATTTAAGCTCCTGTGGAGGAAATTAAATTTAGCTAACAGTAGTTAGTCAATCATTAACCCTCATGTTTTGTTGGAAATGACTTCCTACTTTCTTTTTAAATTAACCTTGTTTCCTCTGATCTAAACCAGTGGACATATGTCATTGAAGTGTATCTATATTATTAATACTATTATCATATTATTACAGAATACAAATGTATTTTTTACAAATGTGACTGTCCAAAACAGTAGCGTTGTGTCTCTGTGTTATGTGCTAAACCACTGATGCATATTACTAATGCAAAATTTGTTTATAAGTTCCAATAAGATTAGAGAAAGTCATGAAGTTCCCCATAGGCTCTTGAAAACAGTTAATTGTGAAGTTGCTACTCATAATTACAATTTCTTATTTCGCTATGTGAATTAATATCTTTCGAATTGTAACTTAATTTGTTGCAATTGCTACTTTGTCAAACAACATGACTTTATATCTCACAATGGGACTTTATATCTTGCAATGTAATATTATATCTTGCAAATTGAGACTTAAAGGGACAATTCACCCCAAAATGAAAACGATTCTGTCATGACTTACTCACCCAAATGATGACAGAATTTACATTTTTGGGTGAACTAACCCTTTAATTTTGATTAATTTCGATATCATGTCAATGACTTTTTAACTCCAATCGTGACTTTAAGTCTCACAGTTGTGATTTTATATCTCACAATGCTGCTTTATTTGTTACTTTTTATCACAATTTGAGTTCATGCTAAAACGCCCAAAAGAACATGGCCCAGGAAAGACAACCGAAAAACACTCTTTATAACTCCTCTAAGTGACTGTATAACAGTCCAATACTGGCACAGAGACATCTTTGTAAGATTCAGTAGTTACTGACTACAGGAAAAAAATGGTGAAAACATCGATAGTAGAAACACTTGTCTGGGGAAACATGTTACTCGGATCTTTTTCTTCTTATTAACTTACATCATGTCTTTCTTGTATGTTCTGTTTGCAGGTAGCACTACAAGCAGCAGCAGTCAGGGGACAAGGCAAGGGACAAATTTGTTCAGTAAGGCCTGACTAATTGCTTTCGCACTAACATTTGCCTCTGCAGCTGCAGAGAGCAGAAATTATAATAGATTAACAATATGAATAGATAGCAAGCAATGTAGTGAACAATATAAACCTTGGCTTTTTACGAGACGGCATGAATGATGCATCTTTATGGCCACCCACATTGTGTCTGCGTTTGTGTGTGCATGTATTCGTTGTGAGCTGGATAACTTTAATCAAAGTTGTTCATGGTAGTCATGGTGCTGTATGTAATTGAATCAGAAGTGAACTATTCTCAGATAATAATCAGGGTCTAAAAAACTGTTGATTAAAAGAAAGTGACATCATTACTTTGAGTAATTTGGTGGAAAATTCACATTCAACTCCTAGAGGCTGTTGAGCCGTCATCTCAGCAAAGAAAATATGAATCTTTGCTCGTAGGCACTTTTTTTTTTAAGCCAAAATTTTAGTTGATAAGAAAGTGCAAATGAAATCACAACAAAACCAACATATGGAAACTGTTGTAAAAACCTTAGAAATAACATTACGGTAAGTACATTATTGTAATAACACTATTGTTGTGATAAACTTTAGCAGTTTAATGTCTGTGTTGTTGGTTGTTGTTACGGAAAGAGCATATTCACAATAGCAATGTTTCCATCCACCTACTATTATGCGCATTTTGGGATATCACATAAAAAAAAACATCTGGACGGAAATGGCAAGATGCGCATATCATCTGTCTGGGTAACCAGCAGACCGATCTTTTTGCACAGCGTCCGAAATGGTGTTTTTGGTTATGCCTGAGCAAAGTCTGTCGTCAAAGTGGTTAATTACCTTCCAGAACTGTATTACACGACTGCGTTCCCGAACAGCAGGCGTCTGCCTCGAAACACAAGATAACACACTTAGTGCACTTCGCCTGCGCGCTCTAAAGGGCAAGTAATTTATTATAAGCGAAAATGATTATAATAGAGTGGCTTCTCCTACTTTTTTCACCAGACAGTGACGAATTAGAATGCTGGTATGAGTTAATTAACCAGCTAACAAAGTGCTTCTGTTTAGCAATGTCCGTTCATTGTTCTGCTTCGGCTCATGCAGCTCAAGTGAGCCAAATTTCCAGCATTATTGACTATGTGCAAAGCAAATTAAATAAGATGTGCACAATAGTGTAGTGAGGTCATGTACCAGCTAAATTATGGTGAACAGCCCTTGGGTTGGATCTTGGAAGCAACTACTTAACCTCAGATAACTATGCCGGATGGCGCGATATATCCCACAGTCCACCTGATCCTCCACTGATCGAGTTAAAATAATGCTACATCCCATCATTAACTGCACCAGAAGTCCTGCTACTCCATCACTGGCCGAGAGACTTGCTACTTATGTTACTTATTACAAGAAGACATCCCGTCTAATAGCTTTTGTTGGACAAAAGTTGCAGGTTTGGAGTTACTCTCTTCTCCTCAAACACATCATTTGTTCTGCTTCATAGATAAGCAATGACAAGTGCATTAGAAGGTCTGTAAAATGTTTCCAACCTCATAAATCTAGTAGGAGAATACGATTTCCAAAATAACCACCAGGAGTCATGACACTGGGTTTTTTAACTCTTTTCCGTTTTACATCGCAAAAAAAAAAAAAAAAAAATGATATAGTGCTGTCATGAATATAGCTGTATATTACCAGGTTATGAGAAGGAAAGTGTGGTTTTGATATTAATCCTGATGTGCTTTTCCATATCTGCCTCCTCTGGTTTGCGGTTCTCTAAAGTGGAACTTAAGGGGAGAAATTATTTATCTAAATGCTATAATTCAGTGTGTCCAGACCCACCTGTTTCTCTCTGCTAAATTACAGCGTGAGGTTTAATTCATTGGGCTCCTGTGTGTAGACGCTCAGAAGTCATGCGCAGCTTTATAACTGGTTTGAATAAGACTTTGTGGCACCATTTACTTCACATTTGATTAGTGGTAGTCTTCAGTGATATTTTCTTCAGAGCCAGAGAAAAAAACACACTTATTTGGAAGCATGACTGTTTATTTGAAATGATGGCAACTGTAATAGCTCTGAGACCGAGACTGTCTCCAAAACGGTAAAAATAAAAAAAACACACACGAGTGAGACAGAGACACAGAGCAGAAAGCAGAGACGTTCTGTCTCATAGCACGATGACAAGTCGCTCTCTCGCTCCTTTGCGCTCACTGTCTGACTTTTGCCAGCCATAGTGTTTTGCTTGTAGTTAGGTGTTTAGCGTTTGATGACAGGCTCGCTAGCCCACTAGCACCGTTTCTCGCTAGCTCGCTCTCCGACCAGTGGGATTCCCTTGTTATTAGTCGCATAGCTGCTGTTTACCCTGGCTTGTGGGTTCTGGTAGCCTAGCAGAGACCCACCAAGGACCCAGCGAGGGCTGAGCTCATGTGTTTACCCTGGCGCTGCCCACCTCAACCTAAAAACAGTGGCCGGGAACGGGCAGAAACTCAGGCCCAGTGGACCGTGACTAGCACTGCCAAGGTAAACAGCTGCTTGGTTTGGAGAGCTGAGGGGGCTTCTCCTGCCCACAGCCAAAGAGTTTGCTTTTCAACACCCCCCCCTCTCGTGTGCACACTCGAGGGTTGATGAATTGGGCCAAGCTTCTTCTAAAAGACAGTTTTATGTCTTGTCGCTTAAGTGTACTGGAAGTAAAATTGATGAGTCTGATGTAGTCGGGATTTGGGACCGTGCACTGCCAAAATATCTACAACGTGATGAGAGCCAATGGACATTTCCTTCATCTGGCTGTGGCTGTTTGACAGTGAATGTATGACAAATAGTAACTTTTATTTAGTTACAATATTAGTTGCTCCAATCCAGACACCGGAATTATCTCTTTAAAATGCTGAGGATGCTCCTTACTTCACTGTGCACTTGGATATATGGTTATAACCTGGGCTATTCGCAGGGTTTTATAAATACAGAGGTGCCAAAATTGAGGTTTTCTTAACCCTCTGGTGCTCCTCAAGTGGTGGTCAAAAATGACCTTTTCTCAATGTAATGAATGTACTATATTTTATTTTGATAATGTTTTTTTATTGAAAAAAAAACAGTTTTTTTTTAGGGGATTTGTTTGGGGCTAAATTATATTTATGTAGTTATAATCCATTTATTACCTGTTAACCACTTTTTGAGCATGAAATTTCAAAATTCAACTGTTATAAATTATTTTTAAAGAGACTTGGTTGATTATTGCTGAAGTAAAACAAAAAGTTAACTTAAAAAAAAAAACATTTTAGCGGTTTAAGTTTATTCTGAAATTTTTTTTCATGTTTTACTCTAAAATTGTGAGAAAACCAAAGCCATAAATCTAAACAAGTCGTGTTCCAATTTTAATTTTGATATGTCAAAATATGAGCATTTAGTAAGATTTTGTTTGGGCGCAGTACCAAACGTTTCCACTGTGTGAAAATTGTTTCCCCATTCATTTCCAATGCGGTACAAGCGTGACACGCGTATTCAGGGCCATTTAACCTTTTTTAATCAAGGTTGTGTGTGTGTGTGTGTGTGTGCGTGCGTGCGTGCGTGCGTGCGTGCGTGCATGTGTGTGCGTTCACATAGCAAGTGCCAAAACCTTTACCAAGTTTCATATCATTCCGATGAAGTAAAAAATAAAATAAACACTATAATATAAAATGTTTCGGTCAAAACCGAAGAGCACCACAAATGAATTTACTGAGGGCTACCAGAAAACCTAGCTTATTAAATTCACTGACAATATGTGCTCATTCATTAATCGTATGTCTAATACGTTGAAAATGGCTCCTTGAATGTGTGTTGACTTGTCACCTTGACAATTATGAATTACATTACATGAATCGCATTACAATTAACACATACACATTAATCACAATCAAGTTGAACTGTGTATTTTCAGTTCAAAATGGCAAAATTAGTTTGTTAATTAACTGTTTACTAGTTTAAATCCCTGATTAATTATGTCCGTCATTTAACGTGTCTGTCATAAAACAGCTGTCAAATATTAAATATTTAGTTCAGCTACTTACATCTTATCCCATACTGTCAACTGAAGCTTCGCTCTGGAATTCGTGTTCAGCAGCCCACCTACATTTATTTGATTAGTAATCTTAAACATTGACATTGATAAGCACTATTAGCTTACAGCTATGACAGATTTATTCAAATATGCAATAAATATTGAAGAAAAAGTGAAGTAAAACTATAATAAATATGTAAAATGGTGCTTTTTGGGAGGCGGGATACAAAGTTCTTTTATCAAGATGAAGTGTTGTTGAATATGCTATTCACTATCAAACCATCTATCATACAGGCATTCTTTTCTTTGTATGTAAGAAACTCAGAACTAAACGCACTAATTATTAATGCGCGGCTTAGCTTTTATGTTTTTGTTGGAAATTAAGAGGGCTGTTAAAACAGGGGTGGGCCATCCTTCCAGGCTAATTGTTTAAGGAGAAATATCACTATATGGGACTCACCTGCTCTGCACATTTCTACAGATTCTACCAGTGCATTGTAACACTTATTTTGGTACTTCCTCTCATTAATGCAGTTTATAGTGTTTTAGCAGCATATTTGAGATAGCATGCATGTCTCTTAACTGTGCTTTAAGTGCTAACAATGGCTCCAGTTGCTCTTGGATGGACTAAAAGTAGATGTCAGACTGAAGAAGTTTTAGTGAGCTGGAAAATACGTCGGTTTGTTTGCTTTAATTTTGAGAGCAGACGTGAGTCTCAACTCTTATTTCTTGCGTTAGAAAGAGACTTTGTTTGTATGTGCCATTAGCCTTGTGAAAAAGACGCTTTTTAAGCAATCTGGCTGGGAGAATGTTGCAGACACACTGATTTGTTGGATCTTTGTCATTTGCGATAATTATGGATGACATCATAGTGATGTTTTCTATGGAGTATGCAAAAAAAAAAAAGGAAGCAGACTACTTGTGCACTTGGGAAATTTGGCGCTGTCTGGGAGTGAATCGTCCTCGCTT